GATTTTCGATGCGATCTTGGTTGCGGGTCAAGTCGTCATTACACCACTAAGCCCCCTCACAAGTATAATCACATGTGATAAGGTTGTTGTTGATATGATACTATAATCCATCAAAACCATCACATGCGATGCTAAATCATAGACGCATACAACCTTTGGCGCAACCTAAGTCGTAGAACACGTCGTCCGCACATCACAGGATCCCTCACGCGTATTATCACATGTGATAAGGGTGTTCTCACGTTCTCGTAAAATGTATGTGTTCTAGTAAAATGGAGGTATTCTAGTACAATCATGGATGCTTAATTTATTGAATATTGATGGCAAGATAGGTAATATAATATTTATTTAAAAAGACTAAATATGGTGAAAAAGTAAGGTGTGAAGGCTAAAATAATGCTCATATTTAAGTTGTTGTCAAGGAATACAATTTTAGTTTATTTATTAATGGTGTGCATTTCATTGATTTTGAAAAGTTTGACATAGAAAAGAAGTGCAAGTAAGCACGGTAAAAAAATACAAAAAAATATACTTTAAACATGTAAGGACAAATACATAGAGGAAAGTATGAAACAACTAAATGATCTAAAGACCAACTGCAGTAAAACACTAGCTAGGTAGTGAACTAAAAGACCCCCTCCAAACTAGACCTTCAAAGACCCCCCAACCTATTAAACCTCGGATTCGATGTGTTAGTTGTTGGCGCTATAACCTTCCCGAATCCAGTCGAACTACTCCTACCCCTTTCCTGACCATAGGTGACGGCGTCTCCTATGAAGGCCTCCAAACCAACATAGTCTTCCCTCCCTCAATTTATCTGAGATGTACGCTACTCTGAACTTTGTGGATAAGATTACATTCGGTATTGGGACCACGTACTTAGCATCCTTCTTTCATGAGCCTTGCCCTATAGACAACGTGTTTGATTTGATGGATATCTTGTAGAATTTGCACTTCAGCTTCAACGAGACTTTCTTGTGGCATAAAGAAAATTGAACGATAATAGAATTACATTAGTATTTGGTCAAAAACTTGATTACTTAACTGGTCCCATAGGGAACTCGCCTCCAAGAATGCTAATTTGAGCGTATTTTTTGGCTCACTCAACGGCTGAGACTAGCGAAGACACATAATTGAACTCAGGTACCTGTCTTGTATATGGTAAAGTCGTCCTACATTTTTGCAAACTGAGCTACACACAGAGGTAGAATTACGTTTGGTAAATCCCATGAAACATATTAATATGCGTTGGTGTTAGAAAACTTCTGGATTTTTTTTTCTTGTGTATATATATTGTTTTAATTTGGTTAAACTTTTGTTGTATATATCCAGATAGGTGTAAGGTAGGTATTCCATAATGCATACTTAATTAACGTGTATTAATTAGCTGTAAATGCAGAAACTCGATAGATAAAACAATAAGCTTTCTTCGTGTCTCATTCATCAATTCTTATGATTCAATGCGTTGCATGGTATATATTACCACTAATTACAATGTCTGCTAAACAAAATCTACAAATGCATCACATTTCGGCTAATATCCCAAGATTGATTGAATGTCAAATGGGGGTACCACACTAATATAGTTGGACCTTGCCCCTGGATCCTATTGCTGACAAATACAACGGGATGGTGGAATGTCTTTTATATAACTAAGGTTCATTCAGTATGATCTTGATATTAGACTAAGAAACAAAATGAAATCATATATTTATTAAACTAGATGAACGATTAAAATTGGTTTATATGTTTTGTAAAACATGGTTTGTATTTGAAAGCTTTTCTTTCCCTTTTTATATGTGTGCGAGTTTGTGAGATTATTAAGGTCCCCCCGAGCCTCGATAAATGGATTAGTATATAGTAATAGCAGATAATTAACTCATATATATATATATATGGGACGCAAGAACGTCCCGTGTATGCTCTTAGTTACCAAACAAAGGTAAATCATTTTGTAACCTAAATATGAATGTAATTAAGGTTTAACTCATAAATCCCCTCCTTGCCAGCTTGAACACTTGCTCGTCGACATCTTTATGTTTTCTTTTGAAGGACTTGATAGAAGTGTACCCAAGTAGAAAGGGACTTGTATTTATGTTTCTGTAAACACAAAAAACAAACAAACAATAAGTTATAAGCAAAAACAAATATATTTCAATTTTGGCAGCATCTCTTTTATAAATAGATGTTTTTCAATTTTTGTTCATGAATAAAATATATATCCAATTAACTCCGTGGCACCGACATAATATTGTTATCAATTATACAAGAAATAGACATAAACTAAGCATAATATATAGTTTGACTTAACTCCTTAAAATGATCGAATGAATGTGACTTGATTGTGTCTACGACCCCATAAGCAATTGGGAATGAAAATGCACCCGGATTTGTTTCCTTTAATTGGCTTGCAGCAAAGCGTTACAAACACGTAACAATAAAAGTCATATATCAACTTTGAATAAACCCAAACTGATGGATGTTTTTAATGATGTTAGATTCATTAATGGACTTTTTCGGTTGCGGCACACAAGGAACAAATATATCTAATTTGACGATGTAGATGTACAAAAATGCATTTCTTCTTCTAGTTGTGTTCCCGGAGTTGCTACTATTCACTTCTTCTTGTTCTTTTTTTGTATTGAACTTTAACAAAACCAAATGCCCTACTCTTTTTTGTATCAACCAGTGTAAGATTTCTACTTTCTTAAAAAGCAAAAAAAAGAAGGAAAAAAGGAATTAGGGTTCAACCTTTCTCAATAATTTACTCATTGAATGAGCAACTTCACCATGATCAACACCTTCTCCAACTCTTAGACTTGTTCAAGGGGTATGTGCGGAGATTGCACCTTTACGTAGACATGCATCAAACTCGATAATTCATAGTTCGTTTAATAAGTGATCTTCACATTCTTTGTCCAAGGAATTGAAGAACTTAGAACAATCTAGCTATGCATCTACAATATTGAAATCCTATTGAATTTGAAACTGCTTTAGCTGCATACAATTGACCATGTGTTTTTTGATTTACATTTTCGAACATTAGCTAGTTCAATTACATTGTCTCCTTCGGGTTTTCTGCTTTGTTCACAAGCATACTTAATAGTCAATCACAAGTTACTTTTGTTTCAAATGAAAATCAACTCACATAGCGATGTCGCTCAAGTTACTTGAACTAATTACAACATATATAATAGCTGTAGAGATGACTGGGTTGCATTAAGCCAAATTCCTATTGATATGGTTAAGTTTGAAAATGCGATAAGGTGTAAAGAAGAAGACATGGAACAAGGAATTGGACAGAAGATGGTGACATGGTGTTGATACGTCAATTTAAGGGCACATGCTCTTCAGGGACCATATTGTACACTTGCATTCTTATGTATTGGATAATATTAGCCACTCTATTGATACTCCTTAGTCCTTAGGTTATAAAAGAGTTACTTTTTGTTTTCTACGGCTTATTTAATTTAGAATTTTAGAAAATATCTCCAAAAAAATGGCAATTACATTATATTAATGTTATTCAGTACAAAGCATTGCAAATTGCTCGTCATATTTCAGTACTAGGATGTATATATACCAGGAAAATTGACATAAATAGCTATTTCAACCGACCAAATTTACCTTTTAGTCATTTTTCTCTCATTTTTTCAAAAAAATCACCACCTCCGTAAGTAACCATTCAATTATTCAACTTGTGGATGAGTCAAAATAGAATAATCACAAATTTTGTGCGAGGTGGGCATGCACTTGAGGTGGTTCCGCAAGTGAAATTTGAATGAGGGTTTCGCAAGTGTGTCCATAAGAGTTCCGAACTGACTAATCACATGGCAACCACCTGTTTTACGGGTAGCCCGAAGTCACTGCATTTGAACCTCTGTGGCCAGAAAGGGGATTTCTATTGCTCTTTGGATTTAAACCTGGAAATATTTGAAGCCAAACTCATATATAAGAAATCTTAGAAAAGAAACGACAAAGAGGTAAATTTGGTTGGAGAAAATGACTATTTGTGCCATTTTTTCCTTATATATGAGTTTGGCTTCAAATATTTCCAGGTTCAAATCCAAAGAGCAATAGAAATCCCCTTTTTGGCCACATAGATTCAAATGCAGTGACTTTGGGCTACCCGCAAAACAGATGGTTGTCATGTGATTAGTCAGTTCGCATAATGGGTTGGATATCTATGTTAATAAAAAAAAATGGGTCAATTGACCTTCCCATTATAATATAAATTAAATTCACGTAAATAATTCTTTTGGATGTTAGACTCCATCCAATTGAGTATGTATTAAGGGGATGAAACATGCTTTTATTGATAATTCACTAAGTAATTATATATACATTAGTCTAAATTAAGCTGGAATTCCTAATCTTAAGTTCGTTTGGTGATGATTCAATCATTACAATAATAATAAAGACTGAAGTACTAAGATGAAATAAGCTCTTGTGAGCCAGTTTTGCCTCTATAATTAAGCTTCTCTCAAGAGCAAAACATAGATATTTGCATGTATGACAGTGAAGTAACTCCTTTTCAGTTTTCCTCTTCCCCAAAGTTTTGGCATTGCACTGTGTGGAGAAATGCAAATTTGAAGATATCCACACATATACACCAAAAATAATTCAAAAATAATAGAGAATATTATGCTTTATTATTTGTCTTTCTTTGCGTCTTTTTCGTATTGACTTTTGAATATATCAACATTTGGTTTTTTTTTTTTTTTTGAAACAATAAAGAAAAAGAACTGAACTTTGCAAGTCTAATGATTTTGGGACAAGATCTTTTAGTTACATTTATACGTTCATAATTAACTTTTTTTATAATAATATATATTATATAATGTTGGTAACTTTTATAATTCATCATACTCAACTCACATCACTTGATCGATGGGTTAATTGATGTTTTGAAAAATGTAAGTCAACTACTGTTAATTATACATGATGAAAGTAATAGCAAATACTACTGTGCAGTGCACCAAAAGTTGGAAACAAGCCAGTGAGAGATCTAGAAGATGGCATTATGGTAATTTTACACAAGCCCAAAGGGGTAAATTGGTAAAAGCACAAGCAGCTATTTCTAGTTTATGGAATCAACACATAGGGTAGCTTCCTCCTCAATTATTCTGAGCATCTGGTGGACTGCACCTSCTATCTCGTCTGCTGAATTGAGCCTGCATCCTTCTTCCACCTGCATGTATTATTTCCCATTTTTAATTTCAACAAAGTGATATATAATGATGTTGAGTGTTTCCTTAATTTTAATTACAAGACAAACCAACCAAACTAGGAAACAACAACGTTTTTGGAAACAAACATCTTTTTCTACCCATCATTTCCAAAACATTAACGGAATTAGGTCATACCAGGTGGAATTCCCAAAATTACCCTTGCCATCACCCCCTTCTTTTTTATCATCATCATCATCATTATTTTCCCGAACGACCATGTTTGATTATATATTTAACGCATCTTTTAGTAATTAATTATGTGATATCGATCGGGTAAAAGATTCCAACTTTAAACTTGTATGGTGTAACTTGGATGCAAACTTCTTGTTATTTCTTTTTCCTGATTACTATTAATTATGAAGGTTTTGATTTTCCAAGAAAAAGAAAATTTGTGTCTAATGATAAAAATGGAAAGTACTAGTAGTATCTCTAAAGCTGGTTTTTTGCATTGTGAAGTCATCCAATGTAAAGTCATTGTCATTTCCAGCACTTTTTGCATGAACATTATATACATGGCCAAGTATTCGTTTTTATGTATAATATTTAAGAAAGTATGTGATGTTCGGATAATCGTAGGGTTGTAACATACAACCCTACGTTGTAACATCCGGTACATGTTATTTTACGTACCTTAACACTGATGGAGTAGAGAACCAACGGGTCCAAGGTGGTGATGTTGAGGTGGAGTACGGACAGATGAAGGGTTTGAAAACAGGCCACCATTTTTGAGAGCTGAGTAAGCCTTTTTTGCGATAGAATCCGGAGATTGGCATGTGTTTCAATCAAAGTGACCTCAATATCTGCAATGGCTGCCTTGCTTTTGGAAGTGTACTTGTTGGGGATTTGAGAGCAGGTGTACTGTGGGTAAGAAAAGAATTGTGAAAATGGAGGGAGGGGCGACGATAACTTAGTGTTATCGGCGAAATCACTGTCTTCTTCTTCTCGCTGTTGTTGTTGTTGTTGTTGTTGTTGTTGTTGTTGAGTTAAGAGGAACTTCTGAGCTTCAAGTGACTGCAAGAGATGTTCAAGCTCCTTCACGAATTCTATAGCACCACCAACAATGGAAGCTTGGTCACCCTGATGGAGCAAGAACACAAAAAGGGGTAATCGTCAAGATTAAGTAAGCAAAACAGTGTTTATAATTTCTTTTTCTGAGAATATATATATATGTAAAATCTTAAATAATTAAGTCAACCATATGAAACTGCAACTGTTTGGCTTGTTATTGTTGTTCATTGCATACAATGGCTTATCCTAGGGGCCATTTTGATTAAATGCATCCGACAAATTGACAAGAAAAGGGATCTCTAAAAAGAAGAGAATGCTTTTAAAGATGAAGCTCTGTTAATTACAGTGTCTAAGATTTTGTACCAGGAGAGAGAGATGTCAAAGATTCGACTGGTTTGTCCTAGTTGGTACACATCCAGTCATTCAAACTAGTAATTATCACCACCATGAATTATTTTCATACATCTCCAACGCTACCTACATTCAGCAAAAAGCTTTGCCCAAGATGGGTTATAATATTTATTTGATTTAATTAAATTAAATTAAATTTGAGTAATTATTTATTGAAAAGAACACAGATGGATGGGCATTGCATTATCTATCAACAAGAACCTTACTAATTAATACATTATTTGGGAAGTTTATTGCACCAAAAAGTAAATAGAAAATCAAGTAATTCAAACTACTCTTTTGTGGAATCAATTCTATTCCAAATCCAGAGATGTCTGAAAGATGTTAATTTGATTCATTATTTTGATAAATCTTATCTCCAAAAAGTAAATCGATGAGAAAGAATTTGGATCTACATGCATTCAATTTAACTTAAAAAAGAGAAAGGAAGCAAACCCTTTGGACGTAAGATTCCGGCATGAGAGACCGCAACACGGCAAGATGCTCATTCATCTGTTTCCGGCGATTTCTCTCGACGGCAATGTGAGTCATTCTTTGAGTTTCAGCTTCTTCTTTGTTCTTGCAAACCCTAGGCCTTCTTCTCCTCTTCTTCTTCCCTCCTCCTTGTACCCCTAAATTCTGATTGTTGTTGTTGTTGTTGTTGTTATTACTGTAGTTCTTTTCTGGGATTTTGCCACTGCAGTAAGCCTGCACCGCCATAGACATCTTTGCAGTGGTTGTAGTTAGAGAAGAATTGGAAGTCATAATTTCCATGGCGGCCGCAGCTCCTGAGAGTTCTTGATTCAAAGGAGGGTTAGGGTTCTGGTTTTCGAGGTGGAAGAAGAAACTACTACAAGGATTAGTGTTAGTAGTTGTGGTTTCAGAGGAGTCATTGCAGCTAAAAGGGGTTGCAGAGATGGTGTCATAGATTATGAAGTTGAGGAGTTCATTGGAAGAAAGTGTTTCCAAGGCCATACTCTCTCTTTTTGTTATCTAATGTGTGGCAACTTTAGGCTTTTGTGTTTGTTCACATATATCTATTTATATCATATGAGGGAGAGTGGTGTGACCTTTCCTACCATTTTTTATTTCTTCATTCTTTTCTTTATCCTCTCTAATCTTAACTTACTTTTTCTCCATCGCTAATCAATTCATATATATATATATAGAGAGACTTGGGATCATGTGAGACCAATGGTTTTTCGTGAGACCCGTAAGACTAATTCTTAACCCTTGGATTAGATTTACAATCGTCAGATCTGAACATTCATAAACGCGACGAGACTTCTCAATAATTACAAAATTGTCACCGTGCAATTTAGACAACTAAATCATTAACTTATAAAGTTGAACAATGAACATAAATTGATCTTACGGGTCTCACGAAAAACCCTTGGTCTCATGTGAACCCAACACTATATATATATATATATGGTACCAAATAATCACAAGGATACACAATGTGATACTCATTGTGATATACTGTGATACCATTGGGGTACCACTGGGGTATCACAGTATATCACAATGAGCATCACATTGTGTATCTTTGTGATTACTTGGTACCTGCCGGATTAATGTTCACCGGAGGCCGGAGATTGGAGGTCAGAGAGAGGAGTTTTTAAAAATACCTAAAATGCCCTCTAATTATAATTTTAACTCAAACTACCATAATTATTAATTTTTTAATTTATCTGTTAATTTGTGGTTGAGATTGGATCTCACAGTTAGCACAAACTAATCGGTTCTCATTTGATTAGGCCTATATATATATATATATATATATATATATATATATATAGGGTTGGGTTCACGTGAAACCAAAGGTTTTTTCGTGAGACCCGTAAGACCAATTTATGTTCATTGATCAAATTTATGAATTAATGATCTAATGGTTGCAAGGTGGCAATTTCGTAATTAGTGAGAAGTCTCGTGGCGTTTATAAATGTTCAGATCTGACGATTGTAAATCTAATCCAAAGGTTGAAAATTGGTCTTACGGGTCTCACGAAAAACCATTGGTCTCACATGATCCCAAGTATATATATATATATACTATCTTATAAAGCATTTGGTTAAAACTCTTAAAACTCTTAAGAACTCTTAAACCCGTTCATCCCTAAACGATTTCATCCATATCCGATTTCATCCCATATCTGAATTCGTGTAACTAACTGC